CGGCACAGCTGCTCCCCCAGCTGGGGGCCCTCGGCACAGGGCTGGGGACCATTATCTTCACAGGAAAGCGGGGCTGTGGTGGTCCCACCTGGGGTGAAGGCCCACCCAGGGACACCGGCCTGACCTGGTGGGGTGGGGACCATGACACAGCCCTGGGCCAGCCATCCAGCTGGGGTCTCCTGTCCCTTCTCCCCAGCTTCCCCAGTCTCTCCGGGAGATTTCCTACCCTCACTGGCTGACCTTTCATCTGGACCTCGGGCCTGATCAGAAGCACACCCTTACCAGAAAAGACGTTTATCTAAACCACTGCCAGAAGGAGGATGCAGGTGAGGTCCAGAGTGATGGACTGCAGAGTGTTAACAGTAGCTGCCTGCAGGGGCTGGGATCAGGGGAATGCTCCTTGTTATGCATTGTCAAGTGAGGGCAGAGTGCCCCAGCTCCTTTCCCTGCTCAGCTCCCTCAGAGGGAGCAGGATCGAGAGCCCTCCAGGGGCTGGGATCAGGTGAATGCTCCTTGTTATGCATTATCAGGTGAAGGCTGAGTGCCCCAGCTCAGCTCCTTCAGAGGGAGCAGGATCTGAGAGTCCTCCAGCCCTGGCAGCAGGGAACCTCGACTCTCCTCGGCCAGTCCTGGGACGTTCAAGGGCTTTGTCCCTGATGATGTTACCAGAGTTCAGATCTTCCACTGAGATGTGGTCTGCCAGGGAATTACTTGTGTTACTTCAGTGTAGCTCACATACGTCTTTAAACACGAAATAGTAGCTGTCTTCGAGGAGAATTCATCTTAAGGGAGAAGAAAGTAGCATTTGAATCAGCAAATTGATGATTCCTTCCATCCAGTGAGGCACTTCTTCCCCTCTTCCTCCAGCACCTCGGCGTCTTAATCACAATTTAGGGCAGACTCAGTTTCTTCATTTATGACTGGGGCTTTGCTCATTTTAATTAGAAAACTTACTGCGTTTTTTTCTACTGGAGATACTGAAATATTTGTTGCATTTTATGCTATGATTATTCCTAGATAATTATAGTGTTTATCTCCCCGGAAGCCTAAGCTTGAATTAAGGGACATTTACATCAGATTTTATGTGCAACTCTTCTTAGGAAGGTGAGCTTTAAATGTACGTAGACGTCACGGTCTTAAGAACAAGTCCACTACTGTTTACATTTATGTGTACATTTTTTGGAGAGCCAGTATTTATTTACCTTTAGAAGTGAAAGTTTCTGTGGTATGTTCTGCAGAAATTATTGCAGAAAATGAGATGACTAAAAACGACCTGGGAATTTCAAAATGGCCTGGGGCTGTCCATGCATTTGAGTACAGATAATCTCTGACTTACAACGGGGTTCTGTTCCGTCAACTCTGTTGTTAAGTTGGTTCTGACGTAAGTTGAATACCTCCTTTTCTTCCCATTATTGTTAC